GTTTGTTATTCATTACACCACACTAGCTGTCTCTTGGTGTGTCTCTTTGAAGTTAGTTTTTATACTTGATTTAAATAACTCAATAACAAATTTACTTCTTTTTATTTTTATTAAAGTTAATTAGAATAGGAGGTGTAAACTAATACATAATTCTCTTCTTTCCTCATAGTATAATACTGAAAACGAAAGTGTAATAATATCATAAATCTTGACTGAAATAAGGGAAATATAGAGATTATGGAGATAGAGTATGAAGTGTTCTAACTACCTCCAAAAATAAATCCCCCTTTCATCTCATCTAACACTATTTTGATATATATATATTACCTAAATGTCTTTTTTACTGGTCTAGCTAGTCTTTTTAAAGATTGTCAAAACAAAGAAGTTTATTATTACCTTCTCCAAGAACCTCATCTTATCCCAATTACAAAACGATGAATGGTTTATGACTATGAACCATCCAACTGAAGCTGAACTAGAAGAACTTAAAACTGGTTGCTTGTGATTACATCATTAAAGTTAAAGAATTTGCTTCATCTACTGGAACTCATCATTATCATGTATTAGTAGTACTCTGTTAGTCTATTCCAATAAACGATTTGTTGTTATGAAACGTCTATGTCTTCGTGGTAATATTGAATTTGTAAGAGGTATTTTAAGACAAGTTCTTGATTATATCATTAAGGACAGTGAGATAATTGAGAATAATGTGCATCCACTGCATTAACTTCTACTACTGACAACCACAAGTCAATGATTCAAGAGGTGAACCCAGGAACTATAGATTCAGAATGTCTTATGTTTTGTTACTATGAAAAGTTTTCTAAAAAACTCATAAAAACACTCTCCTATGATGGGGTCTTACCTTTAAGAACACTCTAACATATACTCTCCCTAGCTGAAGCAAGTTTTGTTATATCAGAAAGTATACTAGATGTATATTCTTATCATATACGAGAAACTTACCATAGGTAGTGTGACAATTTTAATGATGAAGATATCTTGCTATTTGAGGGTGCTGACAAAGGGATATTTAGAAAACCTTCACTTTATATTAAAGTCTTGGCTGACAGGTATATTCTTGTATCTGAGAAGAAGAGTGATAGAACTCAGATTAATCTAGATTACCATCAAATAGTGAATTAAACTTAACGTCATTCTTTTTCCATCATTTTTATATTTTATTTTTCTTCGTCTTTATTTCTTATTCTTTCCTTCTAATTATCTTTTCTTTTTTATTTTAATTTTCTTATTTTACCTATACTTATTTTATATTTGTGTTGTAATACTTGTTTTTATAAATATATAGTTCTTTTTTGTTGTTATATTAAGAATCTCCTCTTTCTTAACTTTATTCTTGCTTTAATATTTTCTTTTCTTTATTTCATCTTTTATATTTATTCTTTCTTTTAAACCACTTGTTTGTTTAATAATTTCATTAATACTAAACAATTGAATAATTAATGGTTTAATGTTAAAACAATTTTAATATACTTTTAATAACACTTTCAAATGATCTTCATTGGGTTGTTTCAATAGTTCAACATAAATTCATTCGAAATTACAATGAATTAATTATGATCTTCACTTTCCTTTTTGTAACACCATTTATTATTTAATTTAAAATAGGTCATTATAACTCATTCACTTCTTCATTGAGTAATTTAATTATATATTTTTTTATAATTATACTGTTAGTGGAATTTAAAAAGAGTTGAAAATAATATAACCAAGCAAACAGAAAAAAACAAGTATTTATTTTATAAAAAGATTCACAATGTAAATATAATATTAAAAAAAGTATATTATCTTTATGTCTAATAGTTATTGTACATAGAACAGTCAATATGTTAGAATTCATTTAAATATAGTACAATCAATAACAATCATAAAAATATAAATATTGATAATAAAATAACAATAAAATAATTTTCAATCAAAAATCATAAATTCAATATTGAAATAAATAAATGATACACCAAAAAATAAATTAAAGTTAACTTATTGAAAAATAATTTAATATTATTTATGAGAACAAAAATCAATTTAATTGCTAAATACATAATAAATTTATAAATGAAATCATTGAAATTATAATAAATAATGTTGGCAAATGTCTTAATTATGAAATAGTTAAATAATTTTGTTTGTTGTTGACATTATAAAATAATACTTTTCAATTTCTTCCTTGCTAATCTACATTAAATAAATTATTAAATTATCAAAATCATAGCAAACAAATATTATTTTTAAAATGAACTTGAAACAAAACAACTTAAAAACAATAAACAACAATGGAAATAACAAGACCAAAAAACAAAATAGTTATTACTGAAACCATTAAAATTATTAAACAAATAGAAGAATAGACAATAAAAAATAAGAAATATACTGTTTAATTCAATTATTGATGATTGGAATGTTAATACATCAGTGTTCAGTCAAAGAATAAAAAAATATACTAATTATTATTGAGTATTCAGATGGCAATTAATTTAGAGGATTATTAATGAGAAAATTAATAAGGTTAGTGTTATGTAAATGATCCAAAATTATTTTTATTTTCAATAGAGTCAAATGGAAGAATTAAAGGAATGATGAAACTTGCTATTAAATATCCACAATATGAATTTTATTTATTCAGCCAAATGATACAACAATTCTCACTTAGGGTTGGTGTAGCTGGAAAAGATATCTTTGTTTGCAAAGAAGGATTTGAGTCCAAGCATACTGTTGTTAATCATCTTTAGATATAATGGATTGAAAATATACTTTGTGAAAAAGAACGGTTCATACCAAAACAAGTTGTTATTATTAAAATGAAATAACAAATATAACAAATGAAACTGAATGAAAAACAACGTCTTTGTAAGACAAAACAAATTGAATCAAGAACATATCATATAGCATAATTTTTTAAGGTTGTACTTGCTGACACTTTTTCATTTAAAAATGATTAGAAAACATTATTATGAAGATTACGAAGAATAAAAAAATGAATTGAAAATCAAAAGGAAGTCAAGTGAAAATGAAGTAGAAAAGGTTAACTGAAAATGAAATATTTCTCCATAAAAAATAATCTTCAAAAAAAACAGAAAAAGGAATGAAATTTCTTGTCCTTATTGTTTTTTTATTTGGAATTAGTCACGGACAATGCAACAAAGGTTCTAAAGAAGAATGTCTTGATACAACAGGGTGTGTGTGGAACAAAAAATTGTTGATGTGCGAAGAACATAACTTAAATTATCGTTTGTAAATTGTAAACAACAAGAATTAAAACACTCACAAATAAGATCAAATGACTTTACTTGATTATTTTCTTAGTATATTTTTTATGATTGGAAGACAAATTAATTCACTGACGATGTGGTGTTATGGCATACTCAAAAGATATATTTTTATGATACTGATTGGAATGATTGGGTGCCTTTCATTTATTTCAGTGATTGCTATTGTTAGCCATTTTGAGATGAAACATTACGCCCCATCTCAAGAGAAAATATATTCTAAAACTGAGTAATTTATTTTATGGTTTTTGTTTTTATATTTTGTCGGATTAGAGTATTGTATATTTACAATCTAAGAAGCATCAGACTTATCAATGAAGTGATGAATAATAAGATTTAACAGAAAAAATCAAAGAAATACAAAAAGGAATGAAGAAAATTAGAGTAGTATAAAGAAAAGAGAAGATAAACAAAAGAATGATTAATGAAGAAACAAGGAATAAAATGAAAAAAAAATAAAAAGAATATTTTCAATGACAAAACGTGTGTAAATAAAAGTTAATAATAAAACAATTCATTTAACACTCTAAAATAAATAATTTTTAATCAAAAATAAAGATAAAAAATATAAGGTGTATGTCAACTACACCAAACTTACGTAGATAACATGCTAAACAATAAACTAACTCAAGAAGAAAATAAATTAAGTGTAAAGAAGAATTAGAAATAAAATAAATTAAACCAATATTAAAATCAGAAGAAGTATAAAAGAGATATAAAAATATTTAAAAAGTGTATTGTTCTGGACATTGAATTATCATCAAGGCCCTATTGTTTTATCCACAAGACTTTAGCTATAACTAAATTTACTACCACATCTAAACACAAAAAAATTAAACCAATGAAATTTTCAAAAATATTTGTAATTCAAATCATTATCATACCATTAAGTATTACAACAAAGACACTAATACATTCTAAAAAAGAACTTGTGCATGTACAATAAAAACAAAGTTGTCATTTGACTTATGAGTGTTACACCTAAATGTCATTTGTAGTATGATAACCTTTTGTTTACTGAATAACTGTTTTCTCCCTTTAACAAGCAATGGTTAATTCTAAGAACTTCTTAGAGATTTTTTTACTGACCCATGTGATGTTATTAATATTGGTTATGTGTTTATTTGTTTTTTGGATATGTTAATATGAGTGTTGATTTACATTAAAAAACTTGTCAAAGGAACAAACAAGCTACTAAAAATAAAATGAAAAGCAAAAAGAGTTTTTAAATAAAATGAACTTTAAAATAGAAAGTTAAAAAAGAAATGAATGGAATGATGATAGTTATTTTACTGATTGGAATGAGTTATGGACTTCCAAGAGTTGACGGTGAATGTTGTTTCCAAAGTAGTGGTGATAGATGTGAATGTAACAAAGCATATTCATGTCATATTCCACCATTATATTTTGGGTCAGAACAATATCTTCCACCATGTCCAAATAGTGAATGTAATGACAATTGTGTATTTAGTGGTTTGTTAATTATTTAAGAAGGGATAATCAATTATAATATGTTAACTATTGATAGATTGGTTAATTTCAGTTATTTGTACTGTTGGGGTATTTTTTATTGATTTATTATTTATTGGAACAACATGGTTGATCTGCAGAAGACGATGTGAAGATAGTTAAGTTTATTCAATTTGATAATTGGTTTAATGTTGTTTTTTAGCTTAGTTTTAAGAAGATATAAAAGAGATAATCATCAGTCAATTACAATATTTCTTCAGAAACACTACTTTCCATAAGAACAAGATCATTGTCATTATCAACTTCAAATTCAGGTTCTTTCTTTGGTTGTTCTTCTTTACTTTCATCAGAATCACTATATGCAGTGATATCTCTATTCCAACCAGCATTTTCCAATAAATCAACACCAGTTGGTACATTAACAGGAATATGATAAGGATAAGGAAGAGATGAAGGCATTTTTGGATAAGGAGGTTGTTGTGCAACAGTTCCACTAATGAATTTAGCGTATTTAATAACTTCTTCAATAGTGTAGACATTGTTTTGTTTAACTTTTTCATTCATATCAACAATCTTTTGAACTTCATCTCTCAACTTTTCAATTTTTTCAATTCTGTCCAATACATCTAATCCAGTTGCTATCATATCCATTGAAAAGAATAATATTTTTATGTTTTTAAAATTTTAATGTTTTTAAAATTTTAATGTTTTTAAAATTTTAATGTTTTTAATAAGATAAAAATAAGAATGAAGGGAGTATTTTTATACTTTCTAGTTACTTTAATTTTACAATATATTTTAAGGCATTTCTGTTATTTGCTTTTATAAAGTAGTTGTAGTTGTAAATGAATAAATCCTTTTATTATTCTTAAGAATATAAAAAAGAGATGATAATGAAAAGAAAGAAGAAATAAATGTATTTGAAAGAAGAATAAAAAATTGAAGTTTTCTGGGTTGTCCAAAAATACAAAGAACTAAATAACCCATTTCGACCTGAAATGAGTTTGGTCGTTTCAGAAAATAAAAGTAAGTTAAGTCGGAGACGTAAATCTTTTTTCGCACGAGGGTCGAATTCACGTGCAACAGAAAGTTCAGAATTAAACACAGGAACTACACAAACAGAAACAACAACTACTACAACTACATTAACAACAACACATTTTGAACAATTAACAATTCCTACTACATCAAATGAATATTTAAAAACAAATCAAATTGAATTAACATTTTCAAAAATACCAATAATATTAGAAACATCGTTTAAATATAATGAAACTATTCTTCATTTATTACCACCACCACCAAAACCCTTAAGACAATATACTACATTAGAATTAATAAATTGGCTTAAACCAAATATTCCAAAAGAATTTTGTGAATATATTTTAACAAAGAAAATTAATGGAAATACAATAAGAAAATTAACAAAAAGAAAATTTTCACGACATGGTTGTACTATTAAACAATCTTTTGAATTAACAGAAAAAATAAAAGGATTTGATCGAGAAACATCTTTTGGTTGTTTGTTTTTTTATAATATTTAATTTTAAATTAAAATTCTTTAAAAATTATTAAATAAAAAAGTACTAATGAAATAGTAACTGTATTGGAAAATTTAAATTTTAGTGATTGTTTATTAAGAGAAATGTATAGATTTACTGAAGGATTTAGAAAAAAAGAAATTATTAAATTAAATTCTTTTGATTATTATAAAGGAATAACATTAACATTTATGGCATTAACATATTATTTTGCACAAAATGAAGCAATTCTTACATCAGAAAACTTAAAAGAAATAACAGAACGAATAAATGAAGAAAATCCATTTGATAGGATTATATGTACAACTCAAAAGAAAATAATTATTAATAGAACATTTTCATTTTTAAAAACAATGATTGAATCAAAGACAAGTGTTTTTTATTATTTTAAAGAAGAATTAATTCAATATATAATTAATTGTATTGCACCAGGACTTAATCCAATTCCATTTAAATGTCTTTTAAAATATAGTAAAAAAGAAAATCAAAGTTATTGTATATTTGAAAATGATGAAACATATGCAGGAGAACAAATTATATTATATTATAAAGAAGTACTTATGCCAATATATATGTTACCAATTAATGAAATAATAACAAATCTTGATAAAAGAGAATGGGAAAATGGAGAACTTGCAGTTAGTAATTATAGAATAATGTGGATACCATATAATACAAGAATATTTAAAGATAAAATGAATTGTTCAATATTTTATCAAATTCCTATTAAAAGTATTCAACAAAGTTCACTTAGTGAAAGTAGTAAAGAAAAAGAAAAAGTATATTTAATTAGAATGTTATCATATACTTCTCAAATGATTACATTTGGATTTAAAAATATTGAAAATGCAAATGAAGTACAAAGTACTATTCAACAAATTGAAAAGAAAAAATATTGGATTGATGAATATGATGTATATTGTAATGAAATTTGTATTAAAAATAATAGTAATAGAATATATAAAGAACTTAAAAATAAAAAAGATTTAATATTAAAATCTATTGGATGGAATAATGAAGAATATATTTATTATTCTAAAAAAGAATGTAGTAAATTAATATTAATAGATGAAAGTGAAAAAGGAGGAAGAATTTATAGAATTGAAATTAATAATGAAAAGAATGAAATAAATAATAAAAGAATTAGTGAAAATATTCAAGGAGAAATTATTGATTTAAGTTATTTAGATGATAAAATACTTGAAGAAGAAATGAATAATTATTATAGTTTTATTACAAAAATTAAAAAAGAACAAATAGATAAAATGTATAATAAATTAACATTTATTAATGATGAAATGAAAAAAGTAATGAGTTGTTTTTTTGATATTATTCCAAGATTTAAACAAGGATATTCTTTTTGTTTTATTGGTAAAGAAGATCAAACTGAATCATGTGGTGTTTCTGCTTTATTTTTAATTATTATAAATAAATATTATAGAACATTTAATGGATTTTTAGAATTAATTCATACTCAATTTGTTTGTTCAAAATACTTTCAAGTTATATATTCAAAAGGTTATCATCCATTTAATTTTTGTATATTTTTACATACAATTAATTGTATAATGTATTCATATCCAACAATATTTGAATTTACTCCATATCTTCTTTCATTTTTAACTTATCATACATTTTCTCATAGATTTAGTACAATATCTTCTCAAAAAAATCCAACTCAATCATTATATTCATATCTTCTTAATAATAAAAACCAATTTATTAAATCAAATTTTGATGATTTTGATTTTGATATTATGGAATATTGGCCACAATCTATTGTATTATTACAACCTAATTTATTTATTGAATTTATTAATTATACTAAAGATAAAAATCCAATTGTTTCAATTCAAAGTAATTCTTTAATAGATCTTTCTAATTATTATTTAACTTCAATTCCTTATTATATTTGGCAAAAAATACAAAAAGAACAAATTCAAGTAATTAATTTAAATGAAAATCAAATTCCTTTTATTCCAAATGAAATTGCAACTTTACCAAATTTAAAAGAACTTAGAATGAGAAATAATACAATTCAATATATTCCACAATGGCATTTATATCATTTAACAAATCTTACTTTCCTTGATATATCAGAAAAACCAAATAATGAAGCTAGTCAATATGAAATGATTATGTTTGATATATTATGTCATTTAAAATATTTAAATATTTCAAATAGACCTCTCTCTCCTGATATTTCATTTCCATTATCTATAAAAACTATTATTGCAACTAATAGTTTTGAAACATTACCAAATAAAATGACAAAACTTACAAATTTAATTTCATTAAATTTATCATATAATCCTAAAATTAATACAAATCAAGTACTTCAATTAAATAAATTAAAAACATTAAAAATGTCATATTGTAATAAAACTAGAATTCCTAATTTAATTTCTACTATGACTAATCTTACATTATTAGATTTTTCATATAATATTATGAAAGGATTACCATTAGATTTATTTAGTCTTACTAATTTATCAATTTTAGATGTTTCTTATAATAATCTTCAATATCTTTCTCAATTACATACAAAATTAATTCAATTACAAACATTAAAAATTGATGGAAATTTTAATATAAAATTACCTCAAACTCAAAAAGAACATATTAAATCAATAACACAAATACAACCAACAATATTTGAAACACCATTACATATTTTATCTGATAATAAAGGAATTGATTTATTTAAAAAATTTTATAGTGAATTTAAAAATAGTAAATCTGATAATATTAAATTATATGAACAACTTCCAATTGATGATGAACCTAAAGTTCATCATTTTTTATTACAATATCATGATTTTAATAATAGAATTGGATTTATTCCACCAATATCAGATTGTTATATTATTATTTTATTATTTGATAGATGGAGAAGTGTTTTATTTCATTGGAAATATTATTTACAAAGAGTTTTACCAAATGATGAAACAATTAAAATGAGAATAATGTTTTTTGTTGAAAATAAAAAAACAGCAGAAGATCAAAGTGCACTAGATTCAATAAAAAAACAATTAATACCATGGCAATGTGATATAATTGTTTTACCATTAAAAAGTAAAAAAAAATTAAATATTGAATCAAAATTTAAAAAATTAATTAGTGATTTTAAAATAATTTCAAATATTTATAATGAATCAATATTAAAAGTTGCTAAAGAAATAAAAATGGCTACATTTGATCCACCAGTTATTAAAGAAGGACAATTATATAAAATTATTAATCAATTTAAATTAGAAGGAAATTTTCATAATATTATTAATTCATTACATCAACTTGGAGTAATTATTAGTGTTTCTAGAAGTATTGATAAAAGACAAAAAATAGAAAATAAAATAAATATTTATAATCTTTTATCATTAAATAGTACAAATTCAAATTTAGTTATTGTAGATTTAAATATTTTTGAAAATATTAATTTTTATCTTGAAAAACAAGCTCAAAATGGATTTGGATTTATTGAAAATATTAAAGAAATTATTTATTCATATAGAGGAATGAGTCCAGATATTATTAATGTTATTATGTATTTTATTCAAATGTTTTATGATGTTTTTATTGTTAATGATGATTTCTTAAATAAATTTAATTTATATGAAAAATATGAAGAATTTATTTCAGTTCATTCAATTACTAAAATTGATATTTTATCAAGTCTTTATTCTCATCAAATTAAAAAAATTCCTCCAAAAAGATTAAAATTTAATCATATTATTAATAGATCTCTTTCTACTGCAATTGAAATTCAATCATTTAATCAAGATGATGAAATTCATTCTACTTGTCGTACACCTATACCATCAACTACTCAACCAATACATATATCAAAAACTTTATATTTTCAACCAAGACTTCTTCCTCATATTGAACCAATTACATTAAATGAATATTGGCCAAAATTTCATGATATAAAAGAAATGGATTTTGGAAGAATTATTAATTTTCAATATATTCCACCAATTTATTTTGCTTATTTTATTTTTATTGCACTTATAGAAGGATTAAGTATTACTAAAGTATTTATGAATCAATGTATTTTAACAAAAATTGCTTATGAACAACATTTTTATTTTTATATTGAATATAATGAACATCAATTTATTATTAGAATTAGATATCGTGCTGCAACAGTTAATTCTGTATTAATAGCTGCAGAATTAATGGAATTATTATTAAATTCATTTTATAAAATTCATGATGAATTATTCCCAACATTAGAATATGATGAATTAATTCTTTGTCCAACTTGTTTAATTTTAGGAGTAGATAAATATAGTGCAATTCCTTTAAAAGAAATTAATGAAGCAATTTTAAAAAATAAAGAATTAATTAGTTTTGGAGAATGTCATACATGTATGGTATCAACTTGTAGTTTAGATCTTAGTTTAAAAGATTTAAGAAAAAAACAACAAAATAAATTATTTTCAGTTGAAATAAATAGAAGTGAATTAACTAATGAAAATTTACTTGGAATAGGAAGTACTGCTAAAGTTTATTCTACTATTTATAATAATAAAAAAGCTGCTATTAAATTATTTTCTTTTGAACCTTCTCAATTTTCTTGTGAAAAAGGAAAAGGAGGTGCAGCACATCTTGTATCTAAAAGTATTACTGAATTAAAAAGAGAAATTTCTATTATGAATTTAATAAATTCACCATATATTCTTAAATTATATGGAATTTCTTTTGATCCTTTAGCATTAGTTATGGATATATGTGATAAAGGTGATTTACATGAATATATTAGAAATAAAAATAATGATCTTTCTTGGCCAATTATGTTACGTTTTGCATATCAAATAGCAAGTGGAATGGCTTCATTACATAAAGAATTAATTATTCATCGTGATTTAAAAAGTCCAAATATTTTAATTAAAACAAATAAAAAAGGTAAATTAACTTGTGTTATTTCTGATTTTGGACTTAGTGGAACTTATAATGAAGAAGAAAAATATTTTGTAGATAATCCAAGATGGGTAGCTCCTGAAATATTAATTAATAAACCTTTTACATTAGCAGCTGATGTATATAGTTTTGCTATTATATTATGGGAATTATTAGCAAGAGAAGAACCATTTAATGATTTTAAATTTCCATCTCAATTAAGAACTTCTATTATTACTGGATTAAGACCAACTATTCCTAATTCTCCTTATATAAAATATAAAGAATTAATTCAAAAATGTTGGAATCAAGATCCTATTTTACGTCCTCCATTTTCTGAAATTGTTGATAAACTTTCTTTATTTAGAAAAATGGTTGAAAAAGAATTTGAAATATTACCTATTTCATAAACCATTTAAAATAAATTGAAATAAAAAATTTATTATGTTTTAAATTGAAAAATATTTGTTTTATATATTAACTTTTAATTTTTTTTTTTTTTTTAATTAAAGAATTTCAATTATTTCACTACGAACGAAAAACTTCCCTGCTTCTATAATTTTTACACGAACTGATTTCCCTAATAAATTTTCTTTTTCATAATATGGAACAATAACTTGAACAAATGAAATATTATGACCTGCATAATTAATTCCATCATGTGCCATTTCATTAATCCAAACAATATATTCTTTTCCAATTAAATTTGTATATGGTAAATAACTATCAAATATTTCTGTAACTTCTCTACTTCTTTGTTTAACAATTTTACTATTAATTTGTTTCATTTTAGCTGCTGGTGTTCCTGGTCTAATATACATTTGAGATATATTAACAATTGGAAATTGATGTTTTTGAATACATTCTAATGTTTTTTTATGATCTTCATCTGTTTCTGTAGGAAATCCACAAATAATATCTGTTGCAATACTAATTCCTGGAACAGATATTCTAAGTCTATTACAAACATCATCAAATTCTTCTCTTGTATATTTTCTTTTCATTGCTTCTAATACTGAACTTGATCCTGATTGAATTGGAATATGTAAAAATTTAAAACAACATGGACGTAATAAAATATTAACTATTTCTTTAAAATACTTAATAATATATGGTGGATTAACCATTCCAATTCTTAACATTGCTTTCCCTTCTACAACTTCACAAATACATTCTAACATATGTGGAAATGTTTCATTAATATCTAATCCATATGCACCAATATCTTCTCCTGTTAATCTAATTTCTTTTACTCCTTCATCTATTGAATGTTGAACTCTTTTAACTAAATCTTCAATAGGATAACTTCTTAATCCTCCACGTGCATGTTTAGTTTTACAATAACTACATGCATTTTCACATCCTGTACATGTTACTATAACATCAATCAATGGATTACTTCTTACATGTTCATCAATATTAACTAATGCTCCTCTTTCTAAATAACTTTGTCCTTCATTATGAGTTGCTTTTTCTACAGCTTCTGTAATTTTATGAAGTTGATCAACACCAACAATAGAACATTTTTTAGAACATTGACATGCTTTAGGATCAGCTTGTGGAACACATCCAGCAATAACTAATGGAACATTAGCTTCTTCACATTTCTTTTGAACTACCTCAATAGCTTGTTGTGATGGATTCTTCACTGTACAACTATTAATAACTACTGCTTTATACTTTGAACTGATTGGTGTTTCACTTGAATCTATTTTATAACCAGCATTTATTAAATCTTTTTGCATAACTTCACTATCACTAACATTATGTGAACATCCATATGTAAGAAATTTGATGGTTCCTAATTCTTCAATATCAGCCATTCCCCACTTTTTATTATTAATATTTTAGTATTTTTCTTTTTATTCTTTTTTTACCCTTTTTTTTTGTTTTAATCCCTTTTTTCTTGAGTCTTACAATTTATTCTTCATTAACCATCAACTACCTGAAACCCAACAACCTCTTGCCTTCCTTCTTCTCTCTTTTCTTGTTTAAACCATCATTTTATTCTTATCTTTATTTAATTATGTGATATATAACATTATACTATTTTAAGAGTGTTTCATTATTATTTTAACTCTTTTCAACTTAAAAATGGAAACTACAAACTCAAAAAGAATGTCCGTTTGTTTGAATAATGTATTTCAGTGAAATAGGAAGACAATCTTATTGGTGTAGCTTGAAAACGAAATTAGTCAATTAGTCGAAGCATTTTATAATTTTGATAAAGATCAAGTTTGTTGTTTTCTAGCACTATCATGATAGGACGACTGTTTTTATTACACCACAACAAAGAGTCTCGAAACACTCACATTGGTAGGACGGTTTCATTACAATCGATGAATTAAAAAGTATTCTTATGGACCAAGGAATGTGTATTTCCAATGAAGAGGCTGATGAAGCTGTAAAAGAAGCAAATCCAGATGCCGATGGATATATTGATTATAAAGCATTTGCTCGTTTCCTTGTTGAAGCTTGTCGTGAATAAATTTATATCCTTTCATTATTTCTTATTTCATTTTTTGTCAAATCAACTAAAATTCCATTTTAAAAGTTATATAAAAGCACATAAGATTTCTTCATTAAATGGACTTGAGCTACACAACCTAAGTATAAGTTTATTTTTTTCAAAGGCACTATTTTTCTGTTGTTGTAAATAAAAATTATATAAGTAGATTTGGGTGTCAATGGTTTTTTCATTTGGAGGAGTTTTTGTACTTGTTGGATTTAATATATTGTCTGGTATATTCGGTTCAGTCATATTTTTTTAGATTCTAATAGAAAAAAGTACCATAAAAAACGAGAACAAACAGAAAACAAAAAAATCAATGATCAAAATTATTATCATCATCAATGGCAACAATGTCAGTAATATAAATGCTTCTTATAACATGAGCGTTTTGAATCATTTCTTTAATTTCTGGTTTCAAAATTCCTTCTGTCAAAGATACACCATCTTGGCAACAGAAGAGTTCTGGCCAATATCCATGACATTTCTTCATAAAATGTTCTCGTAATACAACCATCTCTTTTTTCTTAATTTGTTTTTGTGGACGGTCTATATATTCAACAAGTTCTTCCCAAGTTTTGTTGTCCATATTGAACACTTTTCTCCACTCTTCAATATAACTTATGTTCTGTCTTACAAAACATTGCTCAAAAATGGAAGGAATCCAATGGTGAAGTTCTAATAGATTGTATGCTGTTGCGAACAAAACAGCATCTTCTACATCTGAGATATACATTAATTGGTTCTTTGCCTTCTCGTGAGTTAGTCCAACTATTTGGACATTATTATAAAACGTTTGAAGAGCTAGTAAGTTTACTTGTTGCCCACACTTATTTGCCCAATAATATTCTTCTCCATTACAGAAGAACCCTGCTGCCTTAGTATAACAAGACATAGCTTCTAGTATTTCTGAATATGCGTCATTAACACAACCTTTTTTACTACCCATTTTTATTATAGCAGTATCAACAATTTTCTTTGCTTTATTAAAGAATAAATTACCACCTTCAATGGAGTCATTGAGATATGAATATGTTTCAGCAAATAATGTTTCATATAATGGATTTGAAGTGATTCCTATTTCATCCTTAATTTCTGCTAGATCTGATTGATAATACAGTAAAGTTTCAAATGCATCTTTTTGGTCGTGTTTAGGTAAAATCACTCGATAGTCAATATCTTTATCTGTCATTGCTTCAGTGATAAAGTACTTAACAAGTGTAGTTGGGGAATCATGTAATCGTGGAATACGAATATCATCATATGCCTTTGTTCTAGTAATAACACGTACAAGATAAGAGTGGTTATGTGGAATTAAGAAAACTACAAGACTCTTTTGAATTTTTGTTAATACTTGTTTCATTAACTCAGTTGAATTAGCATTCTTTGCAGCAGTGTGACATAAAATCAATGCTTCAGCAAGGGTGTTTATTGTTGTAACATTTTCTAAAAGATTTAGCATTGGTTTAACAATATCAGCAACCTTAGAAAGAATATTTAAATATGCTAAAATATTTGGTGTAGACCATCCAATAACACATACTGGTTTAACTGTGTTTGTTATTTCAATGAAATTATTTGCCAACAATCTACCTAATTCATTTTGATCAATTCTTTCTGATTCAACAAATCGTTTGGCATCTTCAAATACTTTACTCCATTCTACAACTTTATTGGAATACTTCGATACAACTTTGGGACCACAAATAGTTTGTAAAAAGTCAATTGCTTTAGCGTTGTAATCAGCTGAACTAGTTAATACAACCAAAACTAATGACTTATCTTCGAAATATTTATGAATCATTTCATATCGTATTTTTAATAATTCTACAATTGGGTTGATGTGTGTTGTTCCTTTATAAATAGAGTTAATTTGTTTAATTCCTTCGTCTAGTTTCATTGTATATGATTGTGCACTAGTAATAAATTTAAGTACTTCGTTAAATACTTCTATTTCTTCTGCTTGAACTGTTTCATTCATTTGTTGAGCCAAAGTGTAATTGGAAGTATTTAATACATAATACACACTTTTAACAGTTGGGTTAATTAATGCTTCAACAGGGACATGCTCTCTAACTGCTTGTTGATATGTAGCTAAGATTTGTTTATTTTCTGCATGCATTTGTAATATATTTCCATTTGAATTCTGTCTTTCTAGGATATCAAACCACTGTTCTTTAATTTCCATTATTTCAACAACTTCAATATTAATAATTTGATAATTTAATTCATTTCTTGTTTTAACTAATTGGTCAATATGTTCTTGATAATACTGAGTTGCTTCTAATGCAGGTGCCTTTCTTCTTTGAAGTAGCTCATCAATAGATTTCCAGTTTTGTTTACCAACCATTTGGTTCGCTTCTTTTTCAATAACTTTAAACAAGAACCTTGGTTCAAATTCATTAATATGCTGATATGTTTCTTCAAAATATCTTGCATTAGTCATTTTCTCAATAAATTCAATTGGACTTTCTGTTAGACTTAATGAGAGTTGTGTTTTTTCAATAAGTTCAATGATATTACAATACTTTTTAATCTTTAATTTTACTTTCTCTCCTAAATTCTTTCCTTTCAAATGTCCTATCAACTTTTCTAGTCTCATTGGTGATCGTTGTTGCCACCAACCAACGATAATATCAAGACAATCTTCAATAACACTCTTTCTCCATTCTTCATTTCCTATCATTCCATTCTTTAAATCAATTTGTTCTGAATTAGATTCTATATCTTCAAAATTAGTTTGTGAAACTAATCCACATATATCAAAGAAATATCTCAACGCATTTGTGCAATCAAATAAGAAAAATCCTAATCTTAACAACCTACAACTACAATCCTCTTGTACCATTTCTATAATACGATCTTTTGTTGAGTCAATACTTTTGTTTGAAGAACCTATAAAAATAGAAAATGCTTCTAATGGAGAATCTTCCAATAAAATTGTTAATAGTCCACGTTCACTATTTATCTTTGATAATGCCCCAATGGCAGTAGAAATATGTTTTGCCATTGAAACATCACCACTGTACTGAATTAGAAGATCCTTAACGTCGCTCCATTTATATCCATGTTTATCAGCAAAGAGTAACATCTCTAAGAATGCTTGTTTTCTTGAAAGGATTTGAAGTTGCATTGGTCGTAATGGGATTTGGAAAATATTGCATAAATATCCTAATCGGTCCCATCCTTTTGTTGGTGGATACGATGATCCCATTAACTCATCATAACATTTGACAAACTCTTCTTTAATTTCAAAATTAGATTCAAAGAGTAAATGGTAATCAATCATATTTTCATTTTTAATAGATTGGAGTGATGGATAATGTCTAAAAATATAATCATATTGAGTTTGAAGGTCTTCATGTAAAACAGTAACAAGTTTGATATATGGATTATTTGAGACAAATGAACAACATGTTCTTACTGTAGGGTCATTTGCCACAATTAATTCACATAACTTCTTATCAGTAATTTCTTGATTCATTTTTGCAAAAATACATTGTTTTTGGGTTAGATAATATTCACAATTTAACCAATTCTTTCCTTTAGGAATCGATTTCCGTGGAACAAATCCAAATGGCCCTTCTATTAAAGGGTCATAAACTCTTTGAAATGTATTAGAATATAATTGTGTTAATGAAAGATCACCATTTGTTGTTGTTAGATGACAAATACCATTTAGTTTAGACGATGAAACAGTTTCAGTCTTAGTATTATCTTCAAAGAAAGTATTGAGAATATTAGATAATTGTGGTTTTGATAATAGTAAATTGAATACTGGTTCTTTTAATTTTCCATCCATAGGAAGTGGGGCGTCCAAATATTTTAATGTGTTCGTTAATATTGCTTCTTCATATGAAGAGTGTAAGGCATAAATTTGATTCATCCACATTACAGGGAATTTTGTGATTTTCATTCCTTCAACACAACTATCAATTAATGGTAAATTATCAATAGATTTATATTCCTCAACGATAGTTAGTTCTTTTTTTTCACTAATAGAAGGATGAGGGTGAATAAGTTGTTCTTTTTGATCTTTAAGACATTCATTTTCTGGTTTAAATGAATTTTCTTCAATAAAATCTTTAATAATTTTTTTTGATGGGTCAACACAATAATATTCAACAAATCTCCATAGTGTTTTTTTCTCTTCTTCTCCTTTAATTAAGTCAAAGTGCCCTGTAATCCACTCTTTTACTTTATCTTCTTTATTGTGTGAAATAAAATATTTAACTAATTCCCATTGATCTACACAACATTCATTTTCGCCACACTCTGCTAAAATAAATGATTTATCTTTATCGGTTGCATTAATGACATCACTGACTCGAATAACACAAAGCTCTTTCTCATTAACCACAGGAAGAATATCTGATGTAATTCCATATTTTTGAGCAATCTTTGTTGATATATCTCCATCAAAAGGAGGAAATTCTTCTATTCCTTTAACTATTGATACGTCATATTTTCTGTTTAATTTTGTATGATCCTTATCGTCATAGATGTTAATAAAGTCAATATCAAATTGGTTCAAATGAGGGTCAATCTCATAATACATTTTAATACAAGATCTCCTTAACGACTTGTTAGTAGTATTCATGATAAGAGTTAATAACATCTTACTTAAATCTTCGATACCTATTCTTAATGCAATTTTAATAGCAATGTCATGTTTTTTTTCTTGTGCCTTTTTCATACACAGTGCTTGTCCTTTGATAATTAAGTCAGAGTCATTTATTTCATTAGAAGGGATGTTCCCATTAAGAATGATATCTTCAAAGCTTAATTTCTTATTAGTACTTTTTAAATCTATCATTTTCAATGTATTATTAATTTCTTGTTTTTTATGATCAAATTCATCTCCAAAAACTTTTTTTATTATTTGACATCGTTGTTCACGACTTTCTCTTCTAATCTTTTCATCTGCATTACCAATCTTCCTTACTGCCTCTGCAAGTATATCAACATTTTTCATTAAATCATTTTGTGCAATAAATTTACAAATTTTAAGACAAACTTGAATAATATCACGTGGTGTTTCTATTCCTAAATGATCAACAAAAATTTTGAGTGCAGCACTAAGTAATTGGTTGTCACGTTTTTCAATCAATTTATCAACAGCTTTATCCACTTCTGAAGGGTCTGATGTCTCTAGAGCATGTTCCAATGTAATAAGAATTCTTGAATCAGCTGAGTCAACAGCAAATTGAGGATTTAATTCTGTGATATAATTGATTAATGAACCAAATCCACCATTAATTAATGTTAGTAACATTCTTCTTGAATCACCACTAACTGCAGCAATTAATTTGTTATCACTAATATAAACAGGAAAAATTGTATCATCTACAAGGTGAATTGAATGTTGATTAATCCTCTCTTCTGAACCTACACGTGATAAAACTAATTTGTTTGAGAATTTTTGAATGACATAAGTGCCAGTTTGTGAAACAAAAATTTGTTCTGACAATCCAGATTGTTCAAGGTCATATAAAGTGAATGTCAATGGATTTTTTGAGTCCATTTCTAATAGTTCTTTATAAGGTTCATCAGTTAAATGAGTTATTGGAGTAAAAACTAATACTTTCTTTCCATTACAAAAAACAAAATTTTGAAGTTCTTTTGAAAAAGAGAAAGAACGAAAATCATTAAATGTGGTTGTAAGAAATGAGAGATAAACATGAAGGTGATGTGGTTCCTCTGGTGATAAAATAGAAATTTCCCCATTTTTATGAATAAACAAAGATAACCGATGTGCTGAATTAAAACAAATAATGTCATGCAACGTTACAGAGAAAAGTCTAAGCGATGTGTCATATATAGTAATATCAAATGAGTGTTCATTTTCTAAAGGAATTATAATAATAAAGGCATTTCTATAACTATCAATAGTGCATGTTTTATCTGAAACAAGTGTTTGAAGAACAAAATTTGAGTTTGAACGTGGGTCATATATATACAACCTATCTGAAGATTGATAAATTAAGTTTTCATATTTATTTAAAATTGCCCAATGGTACGATTGAACTTTTTCAATTGTCTTTTCAAATGAGTTAATTAAAGAGATGATATGAAGTTGTCTATTTTTTTCTAAAATTGAAATGTAGTTTTGATTTGGAGATATCTTAACATTTTCATATTCGTATCCAACTAATTCTTTAAAAGTATGTATGACAATTTCCTTCATCCTAAATTAATCATTTTTTATAGTTCTTTTCACTAGAACCTTCTAATTTCTTTTTTTTCTTATGAATAATTAAATCTTAAAAATAATAAAAAACTAGTTCTATTAAAACCGTTTAAATTGAGATTTAATCTTCTTTCTCTTTCTTTGTTTGTTCTGATGCTTTGTTCTCGACTTGATAATCTCTAATTGGCATTAAGGTTGGAGGGATAGTTGCTTTCTTTCCTTGTATTAATGCAATAACACTACAAATAAAGAATCCAATAAATCCAAGAATGCTGGTCATAAAAAGTCCAGTATTTCCTGTGAGTAATGAAGTAACTCCACAGAAGACAGCTATAAATAAGGATCCAATTAATCCATAAACAACAATTTTATTCATTCCTTTAAAATGATATTTGGTATTAGTTCCTTCACAATTACCTAAGAACACGTTCATATGATCAGTTGTTTCTCCATCATAAAAATTGTTAATAAAGTATCTTAAAATACTATTTGTTCCGTCATTAATTAATCCCATTTTTGTTCTTTTACCAGTTCGAGTAATGTCGTTCTTTAATGCACATGTTCCTGTATATTGTTTACTCATTTGGTCACCATTATCAGCCCATAAATTTACAAACATAGTATTTAAACAAGCGTTATCAGTAATCTTGTCTTGATCCATTAAAATACTATTCTCTTTTTCTTTTAAGAATTGTTCAGCAGTTAATCTTCCAAAGACACTTTCACAAACATTAGTTCTATCTAAATTATCAACACAATTTACTCTAAATACTCCTTTTTGTTCATGTTCTTTAGAATTAATATTCCATTGATACCAGCCAAAATCATTTTCTTTATAAATGGCTTCCATATAACTCATTAATTCTTTCATATTTTTCATTAGTTTATGAAAGTCAACTCTTTTTAATTTTATATCTTGGTCATTCATTTTATTAACGTATTCTTCATACTTATCACCTAAACTCTTTTCTCCTCCTTTTAAATCAGTTAATGATACAGCAGTAATTTTTTTATATTGTTTTTTAATATTCTCAAAATGGTTCTTAAAAGCTTCATAGTTCTCTTCTTCATTTTGATTAATTGCAATTTTTGGTTTATATTTGATATTAGGAATTTGAGACCATAATAATGGAATACTTCCTCTTATTTGAACATAACTACAATATTTCTCACCAACACAAATTATTTGTTCAGTTTCTACATAATTAGCAACCTCACCATTTTGTTCTGCACCACGGACATAATACCTTCTTCCTACACGTTGATTAGATCTTCTACTAATAAGAATTAATTCAACTTTTTTAATTACTATATTACTTTTTACTTCAGGTTCTACAGCACACTCACTTCTTCCAATAAAACCTTGAATGATTGGTAGTCTCATCATTTCTGGGAGGTCACTAACCATTTTATGATTCCATATAAATTGTTGATTACATCTATCAAATACTGTACCTTCAGAAGAAGATTGAGTTTGATATGAACGGGTCAAATCATAAGTATAAGAAAAATAAAATGATGGAATAGAAAGGGTTGACGATATTACACTTTTATGATATTTTCTAAAAGATTCTTCTTCGTGTTCAGTAATTGGAAAAATAGCATAATCTTCAATCTGAAACAATTTGTGTTGAAGGAATTTAGTGATTAATTTTTTTTTAGTAATAACAATAAGATAATTACTTTTTTCTAGTTCATGAACTCCAATAATTCCTTCTATTTCAATTTTTTGACTTCCTTCAGGAATTTTACATTCTTCAAAACTTATTTTTTGATTCTTTCTATCAATTTTCAACGACTTTTTATTGTCAATAATTGATGGAACTATTACAATCTCGTCATTTGAACTATACAACTCATAATGTTCTATGATACTAGTCATAAACTGAACTTCTTTTATTATTTTTAAGTTTTATTATTTTTTCATCTTTTTCTTTATTTTTAAAAGTTTTCTTTGATGTTTTACTAAAATTAATAACTATTTAAAGTTCTTATTGTAAAAACATATTTAAAACTAAAAAAAAAAAATTATATTTAAACTGATAAATAAAAAAGGGGTAGAAATAATCTAAAAAAGAATTAAAAACATTTTTATAGAAACAAGTTTTTATAATATTTTTTTTGTTGAAGAAATTTTATTTTTTATACTTTTAAAAACATTATTTTTATGTTTGTTTCCCAACGATTAAAAAAATAAAACTAAAAAAGTTTTATATTACAAGGAGAATGAGTTGTATTTCACAAGTACAAAAACCTTTAACATTACTCCTTACTCATGAAATTCAAAATACATATTTGTACTGTAAAGAACAAAAGAAAAATATACAAAATAAAGCTAAAACAAGAATAGATAAAGATGGACATTTACTTTGGAGAATTAATGAAGTATTAGCGAATAGATACCAATTAATAAAAGGACTTGGAAAAGGTTCATTTGGACAAGTAATTCAATCTATTGATTTAGTAACAGGAGAACAAGTTGCTTTAAAAGTAATAAGAAAAGATAAAAATTTTTATGAACAAGCGAAATTAGAAGTTCAAATATTATATTTATTAAATACTAATGATCGAGCAGACCAATTCAAAATTGTTCGTTTAAAAGATACATTCAATTTAAGTGGTCATTTTTGTATGGTATTTGAATTACTTTCATACAACTTATATGATTTTTTAATGAAAAAAAATGGTTCATTGGGATTATCATTAGTAAGAAGATTTGCATTTCAAATATTAAGTGCATTAAATTTTTTACAACAACCTGGTATTAGAGTAATTCATTGTGACTTAAAACCTGAAAATATTGTTTTAGTATCACCAGATAAAGCTAATATTAAAATTATTGATTTTGGTTCTTCATGTACTCCATCTACTCATATGTACAAATATATCCAATCTAGATATTATCGTTCACCTGAAGTAGTTATGGGTTTACCTTATTCTCATCCAATAGATATGTGGTCTTTAGGTTGTATTTTACCAGAATTACTTACAACCGAACCTTTATTTCCAGCTCGTTCTGAAGTTGAATTACTTGTAATGATGGGGGCATTACTTGGAATGCCTCCTAATTCAATGATAAAAGAAAGTCATCGTGCAAGAAAATTATTTATTCCTCATGAAAATGATGAAAATTATGATTTCCATCCGACTCTTCAACCTCTTTATAATAAGAAAAAGAAATTAAGAAATATCATTGGTGTTGATATTGGTGGTCCTTTAACAAGAACTCCAGGTGAACGAATGGAAAGAGATGAACTTGAAAAGTTTTGTGATTTATGTCTTAAAATGCTTTCTTTTGATCCTAGTAAAAGAATCACTCCTAATGAAGCTCTTGCTCATCCATTCTTTCAAAGTGGTATTACTAAGGAAATCAATCCTTTACGTAAAAAAGAAGAAAAGAAAATGGAAGAAGAACCACTTGTTAATGTTGAAACTGGGAATGATAGTGGTAGGCCAATGTCAAGATAATTTGTCTTTTTTTTCATCAAACTTTGATTTCTTTTCGTTTATCTTTTTTTTTATTATTTAATTAATAACTGACGTTAATGTCTTTATTAAGATATTAGTTTTATTTGAATCCTCTTTTTTCTTTTAAGGTTAAGAGATTCAAATTAAAACAAGATATTACTTTGAAAGATGTTATTTTTTTAATTATAGTACTAATTCAAACGGAAGAAAGAAAAACCAGTAAGAAAACAGTATAAATTAAAAGAGTTGAGAAAATAATAAAATAAATAATAAAAGTTAAAAAAAAAAAGAATTTTAAGAAGTGGAATTATTTCTTTCAATAAGCCAGATCAAAAATCACAATAGAAGTAAAAACAATATAAAAAAATATTGTGTTTTTAATAAGGGATAACATTTTTTTTACTATTATTTATAATAAAAACAATTTTTCTCTTTTTAACAGAAAATTTAAAGGATACAAAAAAAACTTAAAAATCATATCACATTTACAATATGAACCTTCTCGTTAGACATTCAGAAGACCCTATGTATATTCCTGGGGAAGACAAAATTAATGAGTCAATAAAAAAAGAAAAAAAACAAGGAATTAAAAAAATATATTCATTTGGTGATCATATACCTGAAGTATATGAAAGTAATTCTCAGACAATGAAAAAAACCTTAAAATCATTACATCCTTCTAGAGCAACTAGTGGAGTTAATTTTGTTACAAGAGAAGTTAATGGTGAAGTTAAACGAGTGAGTGAATTAACAAATACATTATACAGAAGATTAGCACCAATAAATGAATTAATTGATACAGAAAAATCATACATTGAAAACCTTGCAGAATTAATTAATAATTATATGATTCCTTTACAAAAAAATGGATTAATTACAGAAAAACAGTATAAAACTATCTTTTGGGAAGTTCTTCCAATTTATCATATTAATTGCATTTTTTTACATCGATTTGAACGGTACTATGGTTCTATTAATGTTATTGAACGTACAGAAGAAGAAGACAGATTTGGAAGGTTTTGTCTTTGGTTTTCATATGTTTGTGATTTTTTAATGATATATGAAAATTATATCTATAATCTTCCTTTGGCTCAAAAAGTAATTAAAGAAGAACGACTCAAAAATAAAGCATTTGATATGTTTCTTTATAATAATAGACAAAAATCAGAACGGCATTATGACATTTCTTCATTAATGATTGCACCACAACAAAGAATACCTCGATATAATTCACTTTTTCAGGATATGATTAAAAGAACACCATTAGTTAGTAATAACTTATTTATTGTTCAACACATAGTTGATAAGATCACTCGTATGACAAATAAAATTAATAGACTTATTGGTGAACGAGAAGATATGAGTGCATTAAGGGAATTACTAAATAATGTAGAAGGACTAAATGATGCTGCTATGGGAAATTTTATTATTCAAGGGAGACTCCTTGAAAAATCATTTAACGTACATTATTGGAGCAATACTAAAACAATAGTAAAAAGAATATGTTATTTATTTAATGATTCTATTCTCTTTGTACGTGAAAGAGGAAAAAAGAAAATTTGTGATGTTTTTCTTGAGTATAGACATTGTGAATTACTTGATGAAATAAGTGTTCTTCGTGAAATGAATCATAACATAGATAATCTTAATTATATCACACGAACAAAACTTAATTGTAAATCTAAAATAGCTATTATTCTTCATGGAATTATTATTAATGAACGTATTAAAGAAGATCGAGCAATAGTATTTTGGTTAAATAATCCAAATGAAACAGCTAAAGTAAAATACACATTAGTTCAAACTATTGAAAAATATCTCCCATAATCTTAATTTAAATTCCATTTTTTTTTCATGTTTTATATAACACTATTAATTTATATTTCGTGATATAAAACATTCAATCAAAATTTAATTACCTTCTTCTTTTTCTTTGGAACTTCATCTTGTTCTGATTTAGTAATTTTAATAGATTTCTCTTCATCACCATCTCCACTTTTAAATCCTTTTTCTTCAACATCTCTTTTGCTAATATAATCATCTTGGTCGTCATCTCCTGTTTGTTTTTTTCTTTTATTTGGACAATCTTTTGCAAAATGATTTACATCACCACAATATCTACATCCTCCACCTTGAGGATAAATTCCTTTTGGATTGTTTGGACAATCACGTGATATATGCCCCATTTGGTGACAAACAAAACATGTTGAAAATGCTAATTTACCTGTTCTTGGTTCAGGACAGTCCCTTAAAATATGGTCATGACTTCCACAATTATAACAAATTGAATCTTCTCCTTTTGCTTTTTTAGGACAATTTTTTAGACAGTGCCCAGGTTGTCTACAATAAAAGCAAGTTTTGTCTTTATCACGATTATAATGGCTTTTGTGTTCACTCATTTTCTATTAGCCAAATTTAATTGTTTTTTACCCTAAATTTTTTATTTTTTATTAAAAATAAAAAATGTTATTTAAAATTTTATTTTATTTTTAAATTATTTTACTCATATTTTTAATTCAATCCTCGTTTGTCTAAATAATCATCTTTATTTTGGCTTCGTTTTCTGTAGTGTTGTTCAGTACCAATTTCAATAACTTCATGTAAAGTTAAGTTTGTGTACGTTGAAACAAAGTACCACATTTGTTTTTTAATTATCTCATCTTCGTCTGACTGTTCAATAAATTTACCTATTTCTTGAATATATTTTTCAGTTTTATCTTGCTTCATTTTTTCTTCAAGGTCTGGATGACTTTTGATATACTTTAATTTTTTAATTTGTTCTTTTACATCATTCATTTTTTCTAAAATACTTTTTGGTTCATTCCTTTTTT